CACAGTACACGCGCACACACACAGCGCGATACACGCGCGCGCACAGTACACGCGTACACACACAGTGCGATACACGCGCACGCACAGTACACGCGTAGGCACACGGACCGTTTTCCAAAACACAGCTGCTGTGTACACTTACTGCTGTGTTACACGTCCCACTGCGCTAGTCGTCTACGAGTCAGCACAGTGCCGCTGGTGCGTGAACGTACGTCAGACCTTCCTTTATATTACACTTGCCTTTCGCTACACAGCGCAGCTATTTATAAAAGTCTAGGAACCACTGCTCCTGCTGGTTGGAGCGGGATGCCTTAGCTTCTAGCTTTTTATGCAAGGCTGTGTGTGCTCCCCATGCAGGATACAGGTCTTGCAAAACATGTTGACAAGAGTCTTTCTAGGAAGTAGGTAAATTAGTATTAGTATTATACGCGATGGGGGGAGAGTGTCGTATCAAATATCAGCAGTAGCAGAACATGGTAGCCGGTGTTATATACGTGCACTTATGTGACGAAATATCCCAGTGCGATAACAAAATCACATGCGTTTTACGAATTCTGCGCAGATGAATTATTGTATATTTTTATTATATATAGTTCAGAGAGTGAATCGGAAGAACCGTCTTTTCAGTCGCTACACCAGTGAAGAGAATTTATGAAGCGGCCCTAATGGATGTATCGTGAGATGACATTAAAAAAGCCACGCACCGATCGTTTAAAAATCATTGGTTCTTTCCCGTGAAAACCTTCCAAAGATATCTTGCTGTGCCGGTAAATGACTCCACCACTTTTAACTGTTCTGCAATTAAGGGCAGATAGTTGTTTGTCCCGAGCACACTATAACACTCTATAACACTATAACACTCGGTTTGTTGTCCGCAAGACACATTCTGCCATAATCATATGTGACTAATGTAACGATTACGTTATCCAACGGGAGCTTTCGAAACCGCGCGAATGTGACTTCTGTAACGGATTGGCACGCGTCAGATCAATCGATATACGGCGGGAAAATTGCCGATTGCTAGTGCAGATAAAAAAAGAGGCTTTAATGTGTAGACAGATCAGGAGGGATTATGAATCGGTCGAATTGTGGGACACAAACGACTAAGAGCCTACGTACGGGGCGCCATGCAGGACAGGCATTTTTGTACCTATAAACTTGACAAAAATGAGTTTTGTGAACACAAAACTCAATTCTGTCAATCCTGTCCCACAAAACTCAATTTTGTGAACACAAACCTTAATTCTGTCAATCCTGTCCCACAAAACTCAATTTTGTGAACA